CTCCTTTGTTTCCACCCATTTGACCCACCCATTTATGTAACGCAAGCACAAGCAATCGATGCCACTCTTCCCTTGCGATTCAGATAACTTTTTTTTTTGACTGGCCGTATAATCAGGGCGGCAAGCAGTAGACAAATGTCACCCCTATGGCTATCCAGGAAAGTTTCCATGCCAATGCACCACTTGAGCACTTTGAAGACAAGAAATGATGAGATTTCACACCCACACCATCCTGACCATCTGCACCACTCAGGGCTCGCAGATGTGGGGTAATGACTCTACTCAAACTGAACCCCAAGCATTTTCCGTCTTGACAACCTTGCGAAGAGGAAGGGAATGACATTTTTTTCCGTGTTCGGATCGCGATGGTTTCAGTCCTAGATAGATGCATTATAGTAGAATTAATGAAGGCTGTTCAGTTTATTCGTGTTTAGCGCATCTGCAATCTGCAACCAGCACTGCATGCTTCCCAGGAAACCAAGAATGTTCCAGAGTCTTGTACAAGGGTCTGCCGGGATAATAATAGTTGTGAAGTTCATAGAGCTTGCTGTAGAGCATGCTGAATGCAATTATTACATAACTGAGTGCCAGTGCTATGCAACAATCATGATTTGCCTGCTGTGTAAAGATAGTAAGTTGTGTAGTACTGTTTTTGCTGTTGTTAGCGATCCAGTTTGTTGTTGTTAGCGATCCAGAAGTACTGTTTTTCAATTCTATTTATTGTGATAGATCTATATATAGAAGTGCAGAATTATTTTCCTTTCTTTACCGTAGCCTGCCTATTCTTATGTCTTTTTCTTTTTTTTCGTCCTCTACTATTCCATCTTTTTTCTCTCCCCTGCCTTCGCTCACGTCTTTAAAAGACAGAAATTACTGATATAGTTCATGATAAAATTGCATTTAAGTGGGTTGTTTCCATTGTTTTCGCTTTGGTGAACCATTGAACAGTCGTCCAAATATGTTTTTCAAATCTCAATTATGTATGTTGAGTTCACTGGTGTAACGGACATGTGTATTTGTGGGAGTAGAATTAACCTTTCCTTGACTTTCCCCCCAAGATGAGAGCGCCATCCATTTTGCTCAAGCGGAAAAGCTGTTTTATGAATCGGCTTTAATAGAAACTGGAGAGATTCAAAAGAAACTGGGTAGGTGATTAGTTTTTCTGGTTCTCAGAACTGCAACTATTAATGCTATTACTTTATTTATTTGATACACTTTGTACGCAGTAGAAAAATATGGAGCACCGTACCTCTTGACTACGAGAGCCCCTGTTTGTTTTGGGGTTGTTTTTTAAAAAAATATAATGAATGACACCATTCACGACATCCACCTGTCCAAGACAACTTCTTTTCTTCTCGATTTATGTGTGACAATCTTGGACAATTTTGACTACATTTTAAGACAAAACTGACTGGCTTTCACTCATCCTGGCCTCAGTGTTGGTACTCATTGCTGTCACATCTGAGACGCTTTCAGGGGCTGCTTTCCATGTAGTTTCTGTTTCTTCATCACACGGTGTACTGTATAGTCATATGTGAACATGTGTTTTATGGAAATGGATGATCTTGACTTCATGTGCAGGCTTTTGGAATCATTTATGTTCACAACCAGTAGAACTGAGTCAAGGCCAATGCACAGCGGACGAAATCAGCTGAAATTGCGCCTTTAGTTGAACTGCAGCTCCCGCTGTCCTTAGGTGATTAATCACCCCGCGCGGTATCTGTTGACCTTTTTTATTGGGGTCATTTGACCTCTTCGCACCATTATAAACTGGGGTGCGTTCTTGATAAAATTGTTTCATTTACTATCTCAATTGCAGTAGTGCTGTTAGACCCTTCAAGTAGTTTTAATTTATAGGCTTTAGCAACACCATTTCTCCTCCTCTTAAAGAAAGTCCCAGACTTCTATGTGTTATAACAAGTGTTCTACACGTGTCTGTTTGCTGCTTGTGTAACACGCTTTTCTTATTTCAAATTGAGGATAAATAATCATTTGTTGCAAGAACGGTGCATTGAATTTTTTGGGGATTCGTATGTGCGTGTTCACTAATAAATCCTGTTTTAAAAGTGTAAATTTCAGTACGACGGCAGTTGTGGTTGTTAAGCTACATCGGATTATTTGGGCCTACGAATTCACTAACGTTATTGCCGTATACAACGAAGACCTTAGAATGGAGCACAACCCTGAAAGTCATGTATCCGCTTTAAAGTCTGTGTAGACTGTGAGGAAGACTGAACATTACAGGGAAGCAGAGAAAACCATTTAAAAGCCGCATTTGTGTTCAGAAATAGCCAGTGATCTCATCCTTGTGTTTGGGTTGAGTATCAAAGATGACTCTAGTGACAAACACTACAAATTTGTGTTTTAAATGCTATAAACCAATCCATGGCGCTAAACGTGGAAATTGTGCAGTGTCCCTAAAAACAATAAGAGACACTTTTGACAGCAAGATACATGATTAAACATTGACAGAGGGTCATGATTTATTTCATTAAATTTAAACATGATAGTTGCGGATGATGTTGGCAATGTTAAGAAATGGGGTCAGAAATTGAATAAAGTTTCAAACTCACTTTGTTTCATCTTTGTGTCGTTCCCGAAAGCAAAGATATTGAGTTTTTAGTGGAGATTCACAGCTTTTCTCAATCTGGCCTCGGTTTCCCTAGTCAGCTGTCACTTGTGACTACTCTTGATTAAAACATACCACTCAAGGATCGCGGGTATCACCCGTCAGAGTGTCAGCACTTACATATGTACAGTATACCTATCCCAACTAGATAAGTAAAGAATTGAAAGCGTTGGTCAGTTTGCGAAGTTATTCACGTTTAAATTCAAACAACACTGAAATGGAATCTGATTCAGTAGAAACATGTCTAGGAGAATGTCTATGTCATTTTTTTAAATGTAAGAAAAAATCAAAGAAAAACAACACAAACTTGAAACTTGCACAATTTGTACAGTTTACCTATTCTAAGTAGATTTGTAAAAAGAAATGCAACCGTTGGTCAGTTTATGAATGAAGTTATTTACATTTAGATTGAAACAACACTGAAAATGGAATCCGATTCAGTAGAAACACGTCTAGGAGAATGTCTACACTATGTCATTTTTTTTTTATCACAGAAAAGCGACACAAAGTTGAAACTTGCACAATTTGTACAGTATACCTATCCCAACTAGATTTGTAAAAAGATTTGAAACCGTTGGTCAGATTATGATGTTATTCAAGTTAAAATTCAAATAACACTGAATATGGAATCTGATTCGGTAGAAACACGTTTTTGAGAAAATATTTCAATAAAATCAAAATTGTGAATGGAGATCGACCAAAATTATATAATCTTGTAGGGGGAGAGCTGAGCTTTGAAATGAGGGATCATGCAGTGACATCGCATCTTTAGATCTGGAGATATCGGGGTGGGAAAGACACCATAATTTGGAGGAATTGCATTACGCAGGCAGGCGGGGGCGTGACCATGGCTGACCACTGATTTAATGACCAACACTTGGGTGGCACTGACCGCTGGCACAGAGCAACTAAAGGAGTGGTTTTCGGGCGAGTTGAACAGCCATGGTGCAGGCTTGGTTGTGATGCAATTAGGATGATTTTTATTTTGAAATGTGTTTTTTTTTTTTTTTTTTTTTTTTTCAGAGGAAGTGGCCAGTTCTGAAGGATCTGAAGTGCCCACTGATTTAAATGAACTCAACCTGAACGCTCTGAGGGCAGAGGAGTATGAACATTTGGCGAAATTGTGCTTGGATAAAAAACAGTATGTCTATATATATTAAATGTAATTCATATACATGTGGAATGTTCTTTAATGTAAGCATGTAGTAGTGGTAAGCTTATTTCTGTGTGTACTTCGAATATTCATGGGGACATATGTGTATAAATGAGGGATCCGGATTAGAAAGACTAATGTGGTATTGTCAGTATGTTAAGTGTTTTAGCGCCCATAAATGGCTGCTCGCACTGTATGCCTCCCACGAAGTTGAGATTGTTTCAGATTGCTCTCAGGTCTGCTGGGGTATTAGTATAGATTGTGAAGCCCATAGAGCTTGCTGTTCAGCAGGGATTTGTGCTATATGCTATCACTATATCTATAATTATTATTATTATTATATTAAGCATAACAAAGGAGTCCATGGTTGAATATTCATGCTATGTGGCCAAACTGAAGGGTAAATAAAATATGTATGGCAGGTTTGGGGCAAAGTTTCTAGTTGATTTTATCATTGCATTCATTCCTTTGTTGTTTGCAAGATGCTGTCATGTCTTCGTACAGAATTTAAAAAATTCTAATCAACATTTCTACCTTCTCAGGTCACAGTTGGCACTTGAATATGCGGGTAAAGTAAGTACTTTTTATTGCTCATAGTTTTTATGTGGTTCAGATGGGAATTTGTATTTTGAGCAATGAGATCAACCTTTACTCATTAATACTCTTGACAAAGCAAGATAGAAATTAAGAAGAATACAGAAGGAGATCAGTTTTCTGCTGGTTGCTTTGGGGGAAAATGTATCTCTTGATTATTTTGTTTGATCCATATTTCTAGTCTTTTGTTGGGCTTTAAAAAATTTTGATGCTGCAATATAAGTCTTTGTAGAAATTGATTATCTATGCCAGTGCTTGAAATTTTATGCTGGTAATATGTTGTTGAAAACATGAAGTATTTACAGAGGTTTAATTGATCGTGAATTTTTCCATATTTTTACCAGTGTACAAAGCTTCGTCAACAAATCTATGGAGACAATCATGAGAAAACCAAAACATCACTGAACATGTTTGCAAGCATCTATGCAGAGGTTGGGAAATCTCAGTACACAGGTGAGTAGGCATACCCTCAGAGAGTTGATCCTATGTCAAAGGTACTCTAATTTTTAAGTCACATTGACATGCTGAAATCGCCAGACTAAGACAGCATATATATATTAATAATATATACCCAATGTATAAAGGTAATTGATGCCTCTACGAGTATATTATCAATGGGTCAAACAAAGCTTTCAAATCGTCTTGAAAGGGAACCTTATTCACCTTTACTGTGAAGAGATTTGAAGCCCTAGGCCTGCATTGTGTTTTCTGTTTTTAAAAAGTTATAGCTTTTTTAAAGAAATGTGAAGCTCCATTTCATGACTTGTAATGCAACCATAAATAGACAAAAGTATATTTTATAAGGTTTAGCTTATTAGGGTATCATATTTATGGCAACTAACTGGGCCTTAACTTGAAGAAAAACAACAAAAGATGAAAAAAGAATATCCAGCTGATTGTGCAGTTTGATAATGACCTCACCCTTTAACTTTCTTGACAAAGTAAAGTAGCTCTCCAGCACATCGATTTCTTATAGTATCTGGGGGTTTTTTTTTTACGTTTTACCTTCCTAAATATATGGCTTCTGGTTATTTCAGATTCTATCAACCTTCTCAACGAAGACCCTGTAAATGAAACCAACAACCAATCAACTCCTGCTGCAAATTCCAAGGAGGCTCGTCAGGTCCCTGAAGTGGTTATGTCCAGTCCTGCTGGGGGTGAGCCCGTGTCCATTCTGAGGCAAAGGTCACATCAAGGGGATGAGAGCCCCACCAAGGAACCAGGTACCCATTTACACTGTTCCGTTTACAGACTCTGTGTTGACAATTGGTACTTCCCACTGTCAAGCTGTAATTTGTGGACAGTATATTTTCTTAAATCAACAGGTTTTAGGAATAGTTGGTGTGGAGTACTAGATGAAAGATTTTAGGTTCATGTTAGGTCCTTATGATAAGAAAATAAATACAGATTATTCTGTTTACAGACTCTATGTTGCCAATTGGTACTTACCACAGTCTGGCTGTAATTTTTGGAGGGTATTATATCTTTTTTAATTAACAGGTTTTATGGGAAGTTTCTGTGGAGTACTGTAAAGTGTTCAGACAAGTTTATTGTGTCATGGGATACAAAGAGAATGCTATTAAGCCTGTATCATCTCTGTCAGAATTGAGATACATAAAGGAGAATATATTATAAGTGACGGTGTGTGTGTGTGTATATAGAGGCTTGTAATGTGCACATCAGAGCATGTGGACGTGAAACACTCCAAGGGAGAAGAAAAGAAAACATTGAATAATGTAGGGTAACATTTTATAATTGATGCTGGAAACATATTTTTAAAAATTGTGTTGTGGTTTGTTGTCTTTGCAATGTCAATTCTGAAAATGATGTGTTTCAAGAGGTTTATGGATGATTTATTTGATAAAGATGTAAAAATAATTTATTATTGTTGTAAGCCGATCATAGTACGCAAAAAACTTGAGACTGCTGAGCCCGTTTGCCTCTTGTACACAGGAGAAAGAAATTTCGAGCTTCAGGCTGACAAGAAGTTGAAGTTTTGTCTGAGATAAGTAACCTTTTAGAATATTTCCCTTTATTTAATATTTGCACTTTTGTTGTGACTATATCATCAGAGCGGGAGAGGAAACAAGTGAGGTTCCATGAGTCTGTGGAGGAAAGTTTGAAACTGAAAGAAAAAGGTATGGTATGAAAAAATGTTCTTTGCTTGTGTTTAAGATGTCATGGAGGCGCCTGTCATGATAAGCTATGAACTGTGGGTGTTTTCTGTTTTGTTCTATGATTCTTCTCCAATCACACCCTCGAGATAGCAAGATGGAATTTCAGGGAAAAGAATTGCGTTGAGTGAAATTGAACTTCAATATTTGTAATGTTCAGTCAAGTACCATTCATTTTTCCTCTTGCCCCTGTTGGTCTTATCAGTCTCTAGTTTTTAGTCTGACTTAGGTTAGTGTATGGCAAAGACTTAGGTTAGTGTATGGCAAAGCTTTCTGACATGCCACATCTGTCATTGGGGTAGATGGCATGGGCTATTTTTTTACTCATGTGATAAGAGTCTTCCTTCTTTCTTTTTTTTTAACCTTACTGTACTTGAGGATTATGTCTGGGTTTTTTTTCTATTTTTGCTTGATGGTGATAAACTTGTAGTACCATTAATCAAATTGTAAATAATAGATTTTTAAATATTTTTTTTATTTGGCCTATTGTAAAAGTATTGTTATATGAAAGGCTAATGAAAGTTGTTTTTTTTTTTTCTTTCTCAAAATGAAATATGACCAAGGAAACCTCCTCATCTTCTTACTGGCGGCTGTGATTGCATTAATACTCACTGTTTTCTGTTAACGTAAAGTACACCATGTTGTATTTGAAGATTATCTTTGTATTTCTGCTGTTTTTGCAGCAAATTGTTGTTCTTTCCATTGTGTGTCCTTTGGCTGTGCGTCCTTTGGTGCTTTTGACTCTTGTTTTTTGTTTTGTTTTTTATTTCTGTATAGTTACAAGATTAAGGCCTAAGTCATAGTTGTTTGTAGTTGGCGGGTGCTCTGGTGGGGTTTGCTCCTTTTTTCCTATCAAACATTTAATGTTCTTATATCTCCTCCTTTTTTGTGTTTGTTTCTCTCTTATATACAACCTTATTGTGTTGCAAGTGCCATAAAACTGAAATTATAGTATATGTTGTTGTTTGCCTTGATTGAAATGGGTCTCTTAGTAGATTATGCCTTCTTGCTGTATGTAATGTTAGCATTATTTCAATTGTAATGCACAATTTTGCACTTTGAAAGTAAAGAAGTGTTGTTAGGTTTTTTTGTTTGAAAGCTCAGTTTCACGTCTAAATATCCTAAATTGTGCACAATTCAGGAAAAACAAGGTCATGATATATTGTTACATATAGTATCGTTAATTTTAAGAACCAAATGTTGTTTATTGTGCCAGAAGATATTTAGTCCTTTAAATAGTTTTGTTTGTGTTTTCATAGCATTGTAAATTTGTGTACGAAAATTTTCCCCCCTAAGACATTCATGTTTCTTGCATCAAACTAGGAAAAACAAAATTCAAAATTTAAATATTGTTATTATTTACTTTTTATTTTGGAGCGAAGAGGGAGGGGGGGATTAATGGTGTGTTTACTCTTTTTTTTTTTCGGCAAGTTTCTCATAAATCGACCTCAGTGCTACTCAATGACTCAATGATTGTCTCTGCCTGTCCCCCTCCCCAGAGGAGTTTGCGTCGCTGACCATCACACTGATTGTCCTGTCCGTGTGTTTCGTCATCCTTGCCTCCATGGGCATGTGGCTGTACTGTTCCCTCAACAGAGGGCAAAGCTGCCAGTATATCTCTGCTCAACTACGCAAGTGGCTCCGGTATATCCAGTACAACTTCTATACGCTAACAGCTCCAAGGGTTCCGACGTGAAGGAAGGCAACAAGAAAGATTTCTTCTGGATGAGGTGTTCAAGAAAGAAGAAATCTGTTATTGAAATAAGTTTCAGCCTAAAATTATGTAACAGTTAAAGGACAAAATACTTCATTTTATCATAACTGAAGATTTGCAAAGTAGTGTGATCTAGGGCTGCTATTGATACTGTAAACAATTTGGTCTTGCATCCTCACAGCAATGCTCAAACTGCTGTAAGTTTACCTCTTATTTTGAAAAATCTCTTCCATAATGTTTTGGGGTAGCAATGTCATGAAAGTTATTGTGAATTTGAGTTTTTTTCTTTCCCTGTCTCGCCTTATACATCCATCCTCAAGATTTTATCAAATCTAACACACAAGTTGGTAATTTACTTTTGCCTATTCTACTCTACTTTTTTTTTCTTTGCATATACTTCCAACTATGAATGAATCTGTTTTAAGCTGAAGAGTATAGAGAGATAAAATCAACTCTTTGTTCACAAAATCTCACAAAACTTGAATCTTAATCCTAGATTTTTTAAAGGGAGGAATCACCAGTACGTCTTACGTATCTCAACATCAATCAGACATTTCTTGCAAACTGACTTCTATTACCAGACATTATTATTTGCAGCTTGTTTAATACGTTTATTATATTCAAAATACCAAACTGACTGATCAGAATCAACATTACTATATTTTTATGTGTACGTGGCTATTGGATAAATAACTTTTGCATATATATTTATTATTATGTGTGTGTGTTAACAGTGTATCTCAACTTGCAGGTATCTGCACTACTGTATGAGATATGTATGGTTACATTGATGTCAACTAAAATTGTGTGGAGAATTTAACTTGCAGCTTATTTTTTTACAGGTTTTTTTTCAATATCCGCCAATTATTCTAATTTTCCTATGGCTTTTTGGGCACCCAAGTTTTTTGGCGATTTGGTTGATGCCAAAGTGAATAAGTTGCTTTATCAACATCTGTAGTGTAGCGGTTAGGTGTTTTGCTGTCGCACGTAAAAACACTTACAGGTACATGAAAGGAAAATGTTTTAATTTTTTTTAATGGGCCAAAAGAAAATGTGTAAGAGCCTTTGGCATGATTTCAACATAATCAATTATATAGATGCATTATTTTGTATGCTTTTCTTTTTCCAGATTTGTTGTTTTAGCACACAAAAATGTGACTTGATCATTCTATGCAATTAGAAGCCAAACACTTTTATTTTCACTGTATAACCAATACTTTGCATTAATTGATATCTTCTATTATGCTATTTCTTTTAAAAGCAATGTAAGCATATTTTATAACTTCTGAGTTGTTTGTATGCTGGTTTTATGAGATTACCTACCGTCAGGTGTAACTTTCTGAAATGGGAAAAAGGTCTTTCCTCTTTCTTTCTTTGTCTTTTGATTTCATGTTCTGAAGGTGGACAACAGCTATATTTATCAGGTTTTTCATGTGTTTACCTACAGAGATTGCAAATTGAAAGGCAATACTTGAACTTGTAGCAGTTTTTCATTTTGTATTTTGGAGTGGAGAGTGATTTCATGAAGCCTACCCGCATAGTGAAATATTGTGCGATTTGCCAACTATTTTTTTTTCATGTGCCTTAATGCTTTGTTTTGCGATATAGAAAGTTGCTGCTTTCTTTTATATTAAGAATTTTTTTTGTTTTCTTAGTAGTTTTGAGATATTTTTAAACTGAATGATAGAAAAGACGACCAGAAATTTACTGTGACTTACTACTGAAATTGTATCAAAGAGACTAGTCATAACTATTTGAATATATGGGAAGCATAAATAATATGTATACATCTGTGCAATTCGCAGGTATATTTTGTGAAACCAAGAACATTAACTCAATACACACAGAGCAACAACCCTGTCATTGCTGCCCGAACGTGCCATCCTTAAAGGGACGGCAGTCATCATTTTCCGCATGGTTTTGTTTCCCCAGTGCCCACTGCTATTAATGCATTATTTTGCACCATCCAAATATATTTGGGTCAAGACCTGAAGCTTTACACAGTATAACATGGATAGCTCAAATTCGTCGGAACCAGCCTCGGTAGTTTGAGGGATATCTTAAAAAATGAAGAAGAAGAAAAAACGGGACCGCAGGCATATTCAACGGATGTATGATTTCGAGTCTTCTGTGTTCGTCCTATCCGTGTTATACTGTAGTTAGTTTTGTTATTAGCTAGCTTTTTTGTCTGTAGTGTTGATCAAAATAAGTCACCCTTTTGTTTCCATGGGCAGCAATGGCTTAGGGCAACAGATTATGCAAAACAAAAGCCCTTGAATGCTTTTCCCTCGACTAACCAATTGATGTGTTTTTATTCTGATTATACCGTAGGTCGCGCTGGCTCAGATTTCAAATAATAATTCCCAACTAGTAGAAATAACCGTATCGATACTGAAAACGGTGATGAAGCTGACCTGACTTTGTGGGCATGACACTCCAGCAGTAGGTCAGTAGATGAATGATCCGTTAGTTCTAACTTGCCCCCAAAATTTAGATCCAGTACCGTACTAGCAATGTCAAAACAGCTTGTACAAACTTCTAGTTCTAGCACTAGTTAAAGAAAAGAGCAGTGACAGGAGCTTCCTGTACTTTATGTTCGAGTTCTACTGTCAGTGGAGACTGGGTTGGGGTTAACTACAGCATTTCATTTCAATTTCAATTTCTCCAAATTACTTAACAAAATCTGAACTGGAACAGGTAGGCTTACTTGTGTGGTATGGCTGCACTGAAGATTTACATGTAAACATTTCTGCTGTGTATCAGTTTATATTTCATGGTTAATGATTGATGACATTATGCTGGATGGAATTCAACAAATTAGTGAAATTGATTTTTTGTTCAATTATTACCTCCTTTGTTGCATAATTGCTCTTATGTAATAACAAAAACACCATGCAATCTCTCTATTGTGATAGCCAATTCAATTATCTTTACAGTAGTATACAATATATATTGTTGAAAACCTGGCAGCAGAGCCAATTTGATTAAGGTACCCTATTATAATAAGAGCTACTTAGTAAATTGGTTCCGGCGTAATGGGCAAATCAGTAGCAAAGACACTAGGTTCAATGAGTGAAGAGAAAAAATTTGATGACATTTTTGGCTTTGTTGACCTGTCTCTGCACTGGCATTTGGAGATAAATGGCATAGGCCTACATAACTCTGTGTTCAGAAAACAGAAATGTTTCTGCATTCAAATGTTTATCCCTTGAAGCGTTGCTCCTCAAAGCTTACAAGTGGTTCTTAAAACTTGATCAGGCTTTATCTTCAAAGGTCATTACAAACTTATTAGAGTAACAGTCAAATTTTCAAACTCTTGTGCATACATAGTCTCTGCTTCATGTACTCAAGCAATAGCATTATAGCCCTTCTTTATTCCCATCACAGTCCAGTGTTTTGGGCATGCATTTTGCAGTGATTTTGCTAATAAGACTTTGTTCTTTCTTTCATTCAAAATGTTTAGATTCAAAGAAGAAACACATTTTTCATATGTGGTTTGTTTTCAAGCATTCTATCTTAAGTGTATATCCTGGGTGATATGTGGTGATGATAATTTTTACTATGGCATTCCAATATTTTGTTTTAGTACACAGCGTGTGGTTTGAGAAATACCATTCCTTTCTATAGACTTTTTTTTTCCCCCTTAGACCTTTTTACTATGGCATGATAGTTTTGCAGTTTGTCTTTCAAGCCCCTAGTCTCTTATCTATCTTTCATTCTGTTGTAATTATCAGAATGCATTGACATTTTTTAAAATCGACTTTGAAATATTTCTCACCGTACTAGAGGTATTTTGTGTGTGTATGTGTGTTGGTATTGTATGTTATAGTTATTTTTTCTGTCATGAATTATGTGCATATTTAGAAGTTCGTAATTAAATTGATAAATGTGTGTGTACTTTGGCTCAGTTGTGTGCCTTTTGCTTAATAGGAGTAAGGCATTTTGTATGTTTTGCACCTTTTTAGTTGTGGCTTTTCTGTGATACATTGATTGGTTTATGCATAGCTTTACAAGGTGCTTCTCTTTGCCTTAATACATTGTATGCAGAATACCTCTCTCTACTCACAGTTGTTGATGGATGCAAACTTTGATTGCTGAAGTCTGGGCGGAAACTCTGATTGCCGAAGTCACTACATTTTTCTTTCAGATGCTAGCTAAGTGTCAACCTTCTTTTCTTTCTTTTGTAATTATGCGCATTTTTTTTTTTCGTTTTCAATTTTTTTTTCTTCTGTTATTTTCATGAGAATTTTAAGGAAGTGTTTCACTTTATTTTAACGCCCCTGGTTCTTGTTGTTTTTTTCCTCAATTGTATGACTTTGATGTGCCCATGCTGAACAGTAGTTCTGGGTACTGTTGAACTCTACAGAAATCAATTTTAAAACTATTTCAGAATATTGCAGAGCTGTGCTTTGCATACAAATTTTTAATGTCTTTATTTTGTTCAGTTTTATGTTGGCAACATGCCACTAACATAGGAAATGTCATGTTGTAATTTCATTTGAGTGTTCTTTGGTCAATGAGGTTATGGTACCATATGCCGGATTTGTTTAATGTTACATTATATTTCTAAAAATATGTTTTTGATTTGCTAACTTATATTATGAGATCTCTAAAATCCTCAACAGTCCAGTGTGCTTTAAGTTCAATGCCCCACGTGTATGTAGAGCGATTAGGTCTTATAACTCTAGTCAAATTTTAAATGAAACTAAATGACAATTGCAGTTTTTCAAACATGAGTAATGAGAGTATTGTACCTGCTCCCAGAACTTTTGCTGTAGGTGTAGAACATTGCAAATGACATGTCATCAGGTACTGACCCTTCATTTTTTCCCTTAAATTTCTCAGATTTGCCTAATACCCTTACCCTTATTCTGTCCCCAAAATTACCTCAACTGGGTATGGAGCTTTCAAAATGACCTATACTGAGTAAACAGACCATCAAGTGTCACTGTAAAAGCACTTTCTTCATTTTAAATAAGGTTAAGTTGAAATCCCTTGTTTTCTCCCCTTTCCCAGTTCAAACACCACTGTCCTCTATGTTGACACATCTTTTCTGGAGTCTAGATCCACCCAGTCTGGTGACTGGTGGTTTCCATTTTCTTGTGTAATTTTGTTATGTTTTTAATGTTGTGCTCTAATAGAAATCTACACTAAGGGTCATTTGATTTTAATTATTGCCTTTGACGTGTTAAATTATTAATGTAACATAAATTAACAGCGTTGCAATTTTTCTCTCGTTGCTTTGTTATTGATATCTAGAAAATCCAGCTATGTGTTGCACTTTCAACAGGTATCTTCTTTGCATCAAACTTTTAGGTCATGTGAAGCCTTGATTTTTAATCATGATACTGTAAAGAAATATGATACACAAAGATGCTATGATTCAACAGTAGAGGCCTTTTTGCTGGTTAAGGTTTATTCTCTGATAGACATGATACATAAATCTTTCATAAAAGGAAAGGGCTTGTTGATCCTTTGTCGGAACACTGTTGTGAAAGGTCGGAACGCTGTGGAGAGGAAATATATTTTCATGGACAGAGAAAGAACATCCAGTCCACACTCGAATCTAAGTAGGCCTATCATCCTTCAATGTGACAGATCCAAGTCTATTATATTTACAGTAGAACACGGCTATAGCGGGACTTTTGGTTCCAGAAGAAAAATGCTGCTGTCAGCGAGTTCCCACTATAGGATTAGGAATGCAAAGGGGAAATTACCCGAAATTTTCTAAAAATCCACATGGTTACCTCCCTTCCATATATCAATAAAATTTGCGCTTAAGATTAGTCTTCCTTTTACTTTTATTGTCAACTTCGTTGATTATCTCGGCCTTTAATTCGAGTGAGAAGCTTTTCCTTTTATCTTTGTTGGAAGTCATCTTTTCCTCGGTCTCGTTGCTTGTGCTGTCTATCATACCAGTACGCCTATTGTTCTGATCATAACTGGTGAATTGGATGCGTGCGTATGCCTCCGAGCATCAACGATTGCAATTCAATGAATCGGGAATAACACACTACATGCTCTCCTCTTCTTTTACTTTTTGGCTTAACCTAGGCCTAGGGCTATGGCCTATACGCTCTCATACTCATACTGAGCGTCTAAGCTACGGCACATCACTTTTGGAGTGGCTCCCGTGATGCGTCTCTCCGCACCCTCTCTCTCTGCCACCTGCCCCACCTCACTCATCACTGGACTGGCCAATCACAATGCCGCACTGCAGACTGCCTGTTTGGAGCCCTCCTACAGCCCCTCCAAACCCTTCCCCCCCAGCTAGAGCTCGCCCGATGCCTCTGTATCCGAGTTTGGGCCTTTCCTTGCCCCGCTAAACCCAAGCACAGTTAATTGAGTTAACATAGAACAAAACCCAAAGATCCCGGTAAGGTCCCGCTGCCGCTATAGTCATGTTCTACTTTACCAACTGCACAGGAGTGGGAAGAGACCCGTTTTTAGAGTGACAAATATGTCTCACTCTGGAACTTCGGAATCATTTGAGATTGGGTTTCTGTCCAAATAATCCTTTCCACCGCTGAATTTATATATTTTTCCCAAAAAAAGAGAGAAAATCAAAATATGCGATGGTCGTTATGACCATACTGATGGCCACAACATCTCATATGGTACAGGAAAGAAGCAGGGCAGATACACAGAAACAACATGGGAAATAAAAGAAATAGGATATAAGACCCTCCATCCACCTATGCATAAAAAGGTTCACAAGAAAGAATGTTCAAGTTCAAATTACTGGAGGGAAGCCTTTGTTCCTCGCCGTGGATTCAGACCCAAGTCCACAGCTGGTGATCAGTTCAGTTCCAGTGGAGTTTCCATTGTTGGAAAAGATTGTAACTGAACTGTTCTGTATGAGTATAATTCATCAGAGGGTCTGAATTCCATAGAAAAGGGGTGTGGTGAAATTTCAGTATTGTTTTTCTTTTTGTTATTGTTTTTTTTTTTTAAGTGAAAGTTTTCTCACAAGCTAAGAAATTATAACAACATGAATGTCTGTCATTATTTCCAGTACTAAAAAAAAGATAAAACAATATATGGAGAGAGATATATATATATATGTTG